AAATACTATAAGTGCATTATAATGAGAGACAAAACTCACCTGTGCTGTTCTCTAAGTAATTTAGCATCTTGTCTCATCTCTGTCTTAGGCAAAGATGACAGTAGCGCATCTATTTTCATAATCAAATCACTGCCACTGTATTAAATAAGGTACATAAATAAGGTACATACAGTTTGCAAAGAGTTTCATCAGAAAAGGAGTAAAACATTTGGATTTTAGCGCACGTCTGTCTACACAAGGCTTATTAAAATGAAGCAATATAGATTTATCAGAATTGACATTCAGGTCTGCGATTTGCATTGTATAATCTACTGATATTTCCTTATTCTATTTTTTTCCTCTATGACAACACCTAGGAACCAGACATAACTGAAAACAGATCTTTTAAATTTTTTGTATTTCTTACTAAATTTCTTTAGCTATCTCAGTGGCTCTATTTCAGCATCACTGAACATTTAATCACATTTGATTAAATGCTTTGCCTCTCACTACTTATCTCCTTGATAATTCTACCTCTTCTTGATTTTGTTTTTGTGGTACTTATTTCCTCAGTTATGCCAGTGCTTCTAAATAGCAGAAATGACACTCAGACACAGTAATGCAATACATATTTCTCCACAGTCGTTGTGTAAAAATAATGTGATTTTTCTCTCTTCTCTGAACACAGATCAGATGTTTAGATTAGAAGCCAACTTTGTACCTGTTCAATCAACAGATGTGTGAATACTGCCTAGCAGGGTATCAAAGCGTTACATCCATCCATGCCTGTACAGGCTCCTTTTCTAATGATTTCCAAAAACAGTGCACTTACTTCAAATATCAATATTCATATATTTCAGTGTTTTTCAGATGCACTGGATTTTACCAAACTTATTACTATTCATCGTAATTATCTTTAAGTGACCAAAAGGTGGTAGGACTTGTTTACAGGAAAAGGTTAGAAGGAAACAAGGAATCATTAAAATTGTCTCCATAAAAGCACTTGGATGCTAAGAGGACAGCAAATACATAACATAAAACAGTAAGCACTAAGTGCAGATAAGGTGTATATACAAATATACAGTATGAAAAGTACTGCTGCTGTACATTTGAATCTTTGTTCATATTCCATGTGCAAAAAGATTATTAATTTGTTACTATCAATAAACAAAGCACTTTATTGTATGTTTGGATAATAAACCCTCAAAATCCAAAGTAATTTTACCTTTTAGTATTGACTCCCATCTCTTTGACAACTGCTTTAATCTTCTCTGCTGAGGTACTGTATGTTATTCTTTCTAACAAATTGAAGTCTTCTGTCTGGAATTCATTTTCATCTAAAGGACCCAATATCTTGGAGAAAAAACGATGTTACTAAGCACAGAATCTCCTAATACTGTTTTGATTATTTTTTTAAAGCAAAAATATATTAATATTTTAAGTGAATGCAAAATATTCAATATGCAACTCCCCACAGCCCTACATACTTTCTGTGGTTTCATGAGTGGTATTTCAAGTAATATCTCAGAAGTCATTTAGGATATATAAGAGTAGGTAAGTACACAAACTAAAAAGATTCCAGTAAAGAGATACCAGCATATCTTTTTTTTTTTTTTTTCCTAATGGTGGAGTAATCAAATAGAAAAGACTTAAGGAGCAATTTATACAAAAGTATATTTGTACTGCAGGGTACTGACTGCCACTAGCAAATACTATTGAAGCCAACACTGTATTTTCAATCACAGCCAAATTGCAGTAAGGGCTATTGATTTCAGAATAGACATACTAAAAATTTAAAGACCAAAAGTATTATGCTTGAATATTAAGACCATAGAACAATGTAATCCTTAAAAACATTTTTTTTCCCTTTCCTAAAACAGAAGAGTTTGAAAATACTGTTCTAGTCAAGGTAACTTTATTTTGATCATCAGTTTATCCTGCACCAATTGTGTGAAATAAAAGTAACATAAGGATCAATATTTACTCCAAAACATCATTTATAATGCATCAGCACCTATTTAGAGAATTTTGTCATTTATTTAATCAGATTTTCTCTAAAAGAGGTGTAGGCATGACATAAGTACGCAGTACTGTCAATGGGATGAAACTAATAAACAATTCAGGAAGAAAGCAAATAAGAAATAAAACAAGACAAATACTCATGATGATCTCTAACAACAGGCTACAAAAGTGAGAAATTAATACCTTGCACTTTCTTCAGTTGGAAACTGAACTTCTGGGACATAAAAAGTAACCACAAAAGGAGTGAGAGATGACAATTCCTTTCTTACCCTGCCATTGCTCACAACAGCCATTTGCCCAGGAAGCAGCTTAAGAACCTCCTGACAGAACATCTGGTGGGTTTTAATTATATCCAATCCTAAAGTGTTGTACTTCTTCTCAAAAGCATCATCATTCATTCCCTAAAGCAAAAGTAAAGTACAAGGCTGTGAAATGATTCAGCAAAACTAAATTTTGTAACAGCTGAAGCAAGTTAAACAGAACTTCATGTTATGTGGCAACTAAAAATCAAAATAAAACAACCACCTCAGCTGGTGCAGAGCCATGGTCTCCCAACTGGCTGGTGCACAAATTTTACCCTTGAGCAACCTTTAATAACCATGAGAGGAAGGCTGAGCCCAAAGTTAAACACTTTTTCTAAGGTCCAGCACACAGCTGCATGAAAAGTAAAACTGTCAACTCTTGAAATGCATTCTCATCTGTAGGTAAAAAGTATAAAAAACACATTACTCTAAAAACTAACGCCTATTTTAACACGTTCGTTTGATACAGCTTAAACATAGAATGGAATCATAAGATGGTCTGTGTAGGAAGGGGCCCCAGGGATCATCAAATTCCAACCCCCCTGTCACAGGCAGGGCCATCCACCTCCAGATCTGGAACTAGACCAGGCTGTCCAGGGCCCCATCCAATCTGGCCTTGAACAGCTCCAGGGGTGGAGCATGCACAACCTCTCTGGGCAGCCTGTGCCAGCACCTCACCACTCTCTTTGTGAAGAACTTCCCCCTGACACCACTGTGCTGCAAAGGACCCCGGATAGAACAAGGGTGAAGCACTCCCAGGCATGTTCATATAACATTCATCCAGTAACACACATAACAAACTAAAGTGGAAAGAACTCTTACATGCTTACAGTGAAACTGCACAGTGCCTCTCAAAATTATCTTTCTATATTAAGCTGCACTGATATGTACTTTCTTGGTATAAACATGCAGACTTGTTCAAATATACAGTTAATGTAACAAAACCCATTAGTAACATACCTTTAGTTAGCTAACCTTGTATCTTTCAAAGTTTATTTCACAATGAAAGAACAACCAGAAGACAACCAGAAGAGCCAATCAATTATTTTTCCAAAATGGTGCCTGAGAGTTCTCCTAGTCTTTCAAATATTTTTTGTTCAAAAATACTAAACTGTACAGCTTGAGAAACAAGCAGCAGTTACTTGGTAACTCAGATTTACTTTATATTCAAACTTTGAAGTCAGAAACATTCGTATTTTCAACCAGTGAATTTTCATAGAAATGCGCCAAGAAGTGTTGACCAACATATACAATGCTTGTTTATCTCTGCTGCTTCAGTCTGCACCTATTACATGACTGCAACAGCAAGGTAAAAATAGTTTTGAACCCTTAATTCTTGATAAACATTAAAACATTAACTTTAATGAAGAGCAAGCTTTCAAATAATGATGAAAAATAAATTATTTTAGTCTCAGTAATCCACTATCTATTCTATATTTTTCAGTACTCTCATATTTTCTTCCTTTAACTTAGAGACATTGCCTATTCCTCATCACATTAAGGTTGTCAAAAAGCACTGAATCTGCCGGCCCCAAAACTGTGAGGCTTAATGCTGTTCCTCTCAACTGCATGCCCTTACAAGAAAAAATAAATCATTTGAAATGAAAAAGAAAGTAGCCCACTTCAGTTTGCACTCACTGGGAGGAGGATTTTCACAATTTTAGTTCCAGCAGCAAGGGATTTTGCTGTCTCTTCCTTTGTGAGTTTACTTAGGAAACTTTTTAAGCTTCTGTTGCTTTGTGTTAGAAGAGCTGTCAAAATTCCTCTTGCAATGGCTGTGTTATCTTCCTTTATTTTTGATGAGGGATTGTTCAAAACCCCAATTCGTATATGACTGCTTGTTTTCTGCAATGCAAAACACAGAATAATGCACAATTTTACAGTTCCATCTGCTGTTACTAAATGCATGCATATTTATTATAATGTCCTTAGTTTGAAATGTCCTTTACTATTGAAATTTTTGGAGCAATTTGTCTTTAGAAAATACATGGGAGTGCCTAATTCAGAACTTCAACTACCAGCAAAAATGCTATTAATAAGGATTTACCTATTCTCTGACACATTTTAAATAAAAGATTGTTTTTGTTTTTTGAACAAATGTTCATTTACAGTCTTCAGGACTGGTTTTGTAGATGCGCTTTTTAATTTTTTTCAAAAAATATCAAACTGAGCACAGAATGGATACAAAGTAATTTATCCACTTATCATCTTGCCCTTAATCAGCAGGAAACTCTTTCACTTGCTAAAATAATTGATGGCACTTAAATCCTAGTATGAGAGACTGATGACTCTAGGATAGGACCAAAAAGTGTCAGTAACTGAAGAAAAGGTAAATACACTCCACTGTAATAAAGAATACAAAACTGAAGGATGAATCAGTGGTAGTCAATGTAATTAAACTGTAAAATTTAAACATCAGCCCTTGATAAAAGGGTTCTTCAAACAGAGAAGGGTGCTGTCCCTCACTTGCAGGAGGACTAGCTGGGCACCATGCTATGTTACGAGATGCACAGCAAGCCAACGAAAGCAAGTCATCCTTCTTCTCAACTTGATGCTGCTGCAGCTGGCCTTAGCCCCCCACAATGCAGTACGTATGCTGAGATGCTGAAGAAGCCTCTTCCAGCCAAGACATTGCTAGTTTTTTTCAAATTAAGTTAAAATATACTAGTCCTTTTCAAAATAATATTATGATGTACGAGCCAGAAAAACTCACCAGGTGTTTCAAGGCATTAGAAAGCAGTTGTCTCCCAGATGGATTATCAAAGTCTGCAATAATCCAGACAGTCACAGCATATAATGCATCTTCATCTGAAAATTAAAGATAATCCAGCTTTACGTTCTGGAGAATCTTCTCATGAATAATAAACAATGAATCAATCTGTTCAGGATTTTGAAGCCTGAGTGTGTTTGACTGCTAACTTCAACTGTAACACTTAAGTATCTGATGTGGCAAATCAGATAGAAATAAAATGCTCAGGAGGAACTTTATTACATTAATACCAGAGTTTAAGAATAAATTGGACAACACTCAGACGTAGGGTTTGAACTTTCAGTAGTCCTGCGTGGGACTATGATGTGGACTTGACCATCCTTGAAGGTCCCTTCCAAGTTGGCAAATTTTGTGATTCTGTGAATATGAAACAGTCATTCAGAGTTGATCTGTTCTTAAACACTGAGACACTATAGCCATAAATAGTAAGCTAGCTTCCTTTAACAAGACGCATTTTATCAGAGGTTTAACATAAACCTGTGGAGGAGTTTGGTCACATAGTCAGACATGAAAATAATTAAGTAGTTACAAGAAAGTTGTAAGAAAGCGTAAGTTTGGCTATTCATATTCCCCAAAAGCAAAGGGAGAGTCCTTCAACAGAAGAGCCCTTCAAAAGAAGGGTAAAATTACTGCATCTGGGTACAAATGAGAATATATCAAATACAGCCCAAAGACTGTAATTTAAATTTAATTAAACTATAACATAGGTGTATATTCAGAAAATTTTCCTTTTTCCTGGTCTACACGTGCCTATTCGTTATTCTTCACTGAAGAGCAATGATTCATGAAGAACATTTACAAAATTATCTCCAGAAAAGAAGAGTCTACTCAGGTTTACTGTATGTTCCCTAAATGGTACAAGCAGGTATGAGAGTGGAATTTTACAAGGTTCTAGTGAGATTCTAGGAAGAAGCTGTGGTTAAGGTTCGTTCAAGTCTAGAAAAACATAATGGCAATAGAGATTGGAAACGTAGCCTCCAGCTTATAGTTTATAGGATTTACAAGAGATCTGTTTCTTTGAAATGAGCCTACATATTGAAAGCCAGTCATCATTTACAGCCAACTCATATCCCCCTCTGCTTGTAGATGGAGAAGCAAATAGAGTCAAATAAATTTATTCTAAAGAAATGTTCAATACGTTTCTGATAGCGGAGCAAGTAAAAACTATGTAAATACCACATAAATAATTACTGACAGAAGAGCACTTTGCTAACAGGAATATTCTGTCCCATGATGGGATACTGTAAATCAGCAGTAGTTAACTATTACAAGATGTTCACTCAGTGTAACTCAGAAGGAAAGTACTTGCATATACATGCAATACATTACATCAAAATATTTTAACTGTACAAAAACCCATGGGCTTTAGCAAGATAAAATGTACAAGTGACAATCCATCAGAATACTTTTTTTTTTTTTCCTTTGCTATAGAAACACAAATCTTCAAATATCAAAATCTAACTAGAGGCAAAATAAATAGGAAATAAGAAATAAAATCAATCATCATTAAACTGCAGAAATGCGTAGTTTGCATATAGATATTACAAAGAACTCCAGCCTTCATATTATCATACTGTAAATAAAAGTAGTCTGAAAACTGAATATGCTCTTTAAAGTCTAAAATGACTACCAAGTTGTTCTCATTTATGTTTACAATAGGATATGATTCGGCTCCTAAAGGGAGGTAGTTGGGACAATAAACTGTAAGCCGAAATAGCTCAGCTGGGAGAGCGTTAGACTGAAGATCTAAAGGTCCCTGGTTCAATCCCGGGTTTCGGCAGAACATTTTATGGAACAGATCCTTCCAGAAGCAACGTTAAGGCACATGCAAGACAGATGGAGGTGATTCAATCCGACCCTTAGCTCGGCTTCACTCAGGGCAGATCGTGCCTGACTGATCTGGTGGTCTTCTATGGTAGAGTGAGAATACATCAGTTGCCCAGGGAAGACCAACTGATGTTGTCATCTTCCTGGACTTCTGTAAGGCCTCTTTCATTATTCCACAGCACATTCTATAGGATCTCTAGTTGGAGAGATCTGGATTAGAAGGGTTGACTGATCAGTGGATGAGGACTTAGCTGGATGGCTAAAGCCAGAGTTGTGGTCAGTGGCTTAATGTCCGGATACGGAGGCCAGCGATGAGTGGTATCTCCTCCAGGGATCTGTCTTGGGTGGCCAGCATCATGAGGGAGGTGACTGTCCTCCTCTGTTCTGCCCTTGTGAGGCCCCATCTGGAGTACTGCATTCAGCTCTGGAGCCCACAGCAAAAGAAAGGCGTGGAGCTTTTGTAATAGGTCCAGAGGAGGGCCTCAAAGGTGATCCAGAGGGCCTGAAGCACCTCTTGCCTAAAGACAGGCTGAGGGAGCTGAGCTTCTGTTCAGTCTGGAGAAGAAAATGCTACAGGGAGACCTCACTGTGACCTTTCAGAACTTAAAGGGGTTTATAAAGAAGATGGAGTACAAATTTTTTGCATGGTCAGATAGTGATAGGATCAGTGATAACAGCTTTAGACTAAAAGAGATTAGATGTTTGGTGGAAATTTTTTACTGAGAACGTGGTGAGGCACTGGAACATGCTGTCCAGAAAATCTATAGATGGGGCATCCCTGGAAGCTGGATGAGGCACTGAGCAGCCTGGCCTAGTGGGTGGCAACCCCATCCAAGGCAGAGGGATTGGAATTGGATAATCTTTAAGATCTCTTCCAACCCAAGCAATTTTATAATTCATATTGGGATATTTTTCTACTTACTTGGCATCTCTGGAACACTTATTTACTTGGGATATTTCACTGGCAAATTTCATCAGTTTGTAATACTTATATACATAACATATGCATACAGTGCATATACTCAAACAAATTTAACGTACCCTTTTTTGTTAAATACTTCATGCTGTCTGAAATTACAGCACTTTTATCTTGTGAGTCCAAAAAGGAGAAAGTAGAGAAGTCCTGCACATCAAATGGAACTGCAAAATGTAAAATACAATGTGTTAGACTTAGAAAAAGAAAATAATAATAAACAATTAAGCTGAGAAAAGTAGTTACCAGATGTAGATCTGAAATGCAGGTATCTTCTTTCTGCTCCAAGAATACTGGGGTTTATACGAGAAACGACATTGTTCTGATCCATAAGAAAATCTATTGCATTTATGTGATCATTTAACAAACCCTTTATTAAAAGGGGAAAAAAATACAGAAATCAGTACACTGACAGTTTCAAGACAAACAAAGACTACCACACATTTATATCATCTGTCAACAGAGTTTAAAGCATCTATAAAAGCTATGGACAACTTCCAGTCAATAATGTGTCACACAGATAGCAATTCAAAATATCAGATGCACATTTTCCAAAGAACAACCAAAACATGCTCTCAGTTTCTGGTTGAAAAATTCCATGTGCCTTGAATAAGCTTAGTTGTTCCTTACATCTGTATAATCTAAATACACTGTTTCAAAATAATGACCGTAAATTTAAATAACAACGTAACTGCAGCTTGCATATTATTAATTTTAAACCAACTCATTGTAAAAAACACAATCCACAGGCATGACTCAAATTGCCAAATAATTCATCTTGCATTTATTCAGGAATTTTAAACATACCGTGAACACTGCCCTCTGGAAGAACCCACTGGCATCAATAATTCTCTGAAGAATAACGGACTCTAACTCTGCAGCATTCATCTCTTCTTTGTTGAAGGGCACACCATTAAACAGAGCTTGAGGTAACGGACCCAGGCCGGTCTTCTTATAAAAGGTTGCTCCTGCCTGAATATATCAGAAATATCACAGGATTAAACGGACTGTGGCTGACTGTAGCAAGAGGAAAAGGAAGGAAGGAAGGAAAAAGGAAGGAAGGAAGGAAAAAGGAAGGAAGGAAGGAAAAAGGAAGGAA